CACGGAGCTGAGGACCAAGCTGAGCCCCCCGCGGGGCCGCGCCGGGGCTGTGCGCGCGGGCTTCGGGGAGCGCCGGGATGTGGACGGTGAGCGGGGCGGACGGAGGAGCCTCCCGGACCCAGAGAGGGTCGCGATCGCGACCCTGCCGCCTCGGAGCAGCCGCGCGGGAGGTGGGGCGGCTTAGAGGGGCGCACCCTGGCCCAATGGAGTCTGCTATCTTTGTCCGTTAACCGGGGTGCCCAGGCCTTGGGACCCGTGCGCCCTTGGCCCGCGGGGAGCGGGCCGGCCGGTCCTGCCCCCAGGCTGCTGCCGCTGTGGCTGCGTTCCCACCGCACCGAGAAAGCGGGGACTCCCCTGGCCGTAGGGCCAGAGCTGCAGCCACAGCGGGCTGGGCGTGGCGCCGCCTCCTCCCCTGGAACCGGCACTGGGGTCTGGGAGGGGCCCAGGGAGACCTCAGGAGGGAGGACGTGGGGGGGCAGGAGGTGGGCCGGCCGCCTGGCAGGCGAGAGCCACAGGCCAGTCCCTTCAAGGTGCCCCCACCGGCCACGCCCCTTGACCCTAGCTCTCAGAGGTGTAGCCCCCCCAGACCTCGGGGTCGGGAAGCTGGCGGCTCGCTGGGCCCTGCGGAGGGTGCTGCTGTCCGAGGTTCCGAGCGAGGCCCCAGGCGCAGCCCCGACTCCTCCCTGTGCCTCAGCTTAAGAGGCGGCCATGTCCTCCATCTCCACTGCCCTGAGGCAGGCGAGGCCAGGCGGTCCTGACCTGAGGCCAATGCCCCTTCTGGGTGACGGCCCCGGGGCAGCAGGGCCCTAGCAGCGGCCAGTCCCCCTTGAAGAGCGAGGACACAAGGGGGCACACGCAGGCCTGTGCCCAGCTGGACTCCAGTGGAGGCGCCGCCGTCCATGAGGGCCGTGCCAGTTGGGGGCCCAGACTGCGCCAGAGGGGCTCCCAGCAGGTGGCTCCTGTGCGCTCTGGTCTGGTCGGCGGCCGCCAGTGGGGAGGCCGGGCTCTGGGGCGGCCCGAACGGGGTGTCTGCCCCGCCCCAACGTGCCTGCTGGGAGGGGGCCGCTCCCGGTTTGTCCTGGGGCTGGGGCCCCCCCGGCTTGCGTGCACACGCCCCTCGTCCTCTGGGTCAGAGCCCCGAACTGAGAGCGCCCCTCCCGGCGGAGGGGGTGGCCAGGCGGGGAGCCGCGCCTGGGGCCCTGGCCACCCACCGCCTCTCCACAGCCACCGCCCACTTCAGCTTCTGCCGCGCGCTCCTGG